TAATACCAACATGGGCCAGTGAAGCGACGTCCTCCACAACTAGACTGAAGAACAAAAGGACAGCAACTTGTCTGTTCCCCTTCCCTGATTCCCCAATAAAATCTTAAAGAAAATAAAAAGTAAAAAATTCATTCTGTAAATCAGTGTTCATAGAAGCCCAAAGACAGAAACAACCCAAATGTCCATGAACAGATGAACGGGAAAACAAAATGTGGTATATACATACAATGGAAGAGTATTCAGTCAGCCTTAAAAAGTAAGGAAATCCTGTTACATGCTACAACATGGATGAACTTTAAAGGCAGTATGCTAAGTGAAATAAGCCAGGCACAAAAGGACAAATACTATATGATCACTTTTATGAAGTACCTAGAGTAGTCAGATTCATAGAAACAGAAAGTAACTGCCAAGGACCGGAGACAACAGAGGCTGAGGGTTATTGTTTAATGGGCACAGAGTTTCAGTTTGGAAAGATGAAAAAGTTCTGGAGATGGATTATGGTCATGGTTGCACAACAATGTGAATGTACTTAATGGCACTGAAGGGTTAAAATGGTTTTAAAAAAATCATTCTGGTTATTGTGTGTGGTGAAAGAACAAGATAGAAAGAGGTGGTTAAAGTGGAAACAGAAAGCCCAGTTAGAAGGCTACTGTTATAATCCAGGGAAGGGATGGTGGTGGTTGGATGAAAGTTGTGGAAATGATCAAGAGTGGTCAGACTCTGAGTTTTTTTAAAATTTTGGTATTGTCAAATAGTTCAAGTTTTTTTTAGTTTTTTTTTAAAGATTTTTTATTGGGGGATTGGGGAGATGGGAACAGTGCTGGGGAATAGGGGGAAGGGGAACAGACAAGTTGCTGTCCTTTTGTTCTTCAGTCTAGCTGTGGAGGACGTTGCTTCACTGGCCCAAGTTAGCACCATCATTGCGCTCTTCCCGGGCGAGGCAGATCAGTTGCTGGCTTCTGGATGGCTGATCACGGCAGCTGCTGGCTGCTCACACTGGCTGTTGGCTACACACGGTAGCCCATGGCAACCCACTGCAGCAGGGGCTGCAGCCTAGGCCATCGACGGTGACTCATGGCAGCCCAGCTCCAGGTCGAGCTGTTGTTCAACATCTTAGCTGTAGAGGGCAGTGTCACTGGCCCTCATATGTGGGATCCAAACCGGGGTCCTTTGGCGTCCCAAGCCAGCTCTTAACCAATCTGCCACTCGGCCGGCCCAAGGATGGTGAATTTTTAAGAGCAGTTTTAATTACATGCTCGAGATGCAATTTTGCCCAAAACAAATTGAGGAGAGAATGAGAAGTAAGAAAGTGGAGAGCAAATAACAGCAATTCTTTCAATGAGTGTTGATATAAGGAAGCAGAGAAATGGAGCAGTAATCATAACAGGATGGGCAGCGTAGAAAGGGCTTTTTAAGATGGGAGTGTTTAAGTCATGTTTGTAAACTGATGTGAATAATCCAGCAAAGAGAGAGAGGGAAAAAAAAATGTGGTCGCTGGAGAAAGAAGGGATAATTGAAGGAGCAAAGTTCCTAAGTGACTAGGAAGAAAAGGGTTCCAGTCTACAAGTGTAAGTGGTGACCTCAGGTAGGACAGTTCATTTAGTACAGGGAAGTAACTGAGAGAATGAGCTCGGAAGCCAGACTCCTTCCTTTGTAACCTTAGACAGAGTACTTCAAAAAAAACTCCCATGTCTCTTTCTCCCATCTATGAAATGAAGGATAACAATAATACCTAACTCATTAATACAGGTAAAGGACTCAGAACACCGCTGCAAATACAGTAAGCCCTGTAGATGCTATTATCATTGTTAGTAGGAAGGAAATCAGAGTCTTCTGGTCCAAATGCAAATACATTGGTAGATTTAGTGGTGGGAAGATGTGACAGTTCTTTGCTGATTGCTCTCTTTTTTTAAGATTTAAATGGGGAATTGGGGGAGGGAACAGTGTTGGGTAATCAGGGAAGGGGAAGGGGAACAGATAAGTTGCTGTCCTTTTGTCCTTCAGTCTAGTTGTGGAGGATGTCACTTCACTGGCCCATGTTGGTATTATCATTGCACTCTTCCTGGGTGCTGCTGTCACTCACCGGCCATTGGTCGGCCGCTCACAGCAGCTCATGCTGGCTGCTGGCCATGCATGGTAAGTTACGGCAGCCCACTGCAGACTCACTGCAGCCTACACCGTCGCCGGCGACTCACGGCAGCCCAGCTCCAGGTCAAGCTGTTGTTCACCATCTTAGCTGTAGAGGGCACAACGTCACTGGCCCATGTGGGATACGAACCGGTGGCCCTGCTACTCAGAGCTCGCGCTCCCAAGCCAACTCTTAACCAACGAGCCACTCGGCCAGCCCTGATGATTGCTCTTGATTTTTTTTTTCTTCAAGGAAAAAAAAACCAAGGTTATCAGTTGAGAGTGAGGTAGAGGGAGATTAGAAATGGTCATCTCAGAAAGTGGGCAAGCGAATTGACTAGGAAACTAGTAGGATTGCTGGGCAGCATGGAATGCTCACTTGAAGTTTATGGGCCATACATGTAAAGTAAGGCCAGTCAGTACAGGTGGGGGTTTACACCAGTTAAATTCCAATGCTTTGGGGTACAGGTGTGGAATAGGAGAAGAGCTAGACTTAACTTGGGTTAGGATTTGACTGGAAAATACAAGAAAGGGAAAAGGAAAGAAGGGCAAGGCTGTTGAGAGTGTATGTGTGATAGTGATTATGGAGATAGGCCATGGCAAAATAAATTGAGTAAGGAGGGAAAGACGTAAGGGGCATGCTGGATAGTGAAAAAGTGGCGGGGTCAATAGATTGAATGTCCCAGTAAAATTCTCTAGAGTAAGTGAGGTGAAAAGGTAGGAGTTGACATCCAGAAGATAGAATATTTGAAACATTTTGGTAGCTAAGGTAGTAGAGGAAACTCTTGTTAGAAATAAAAAGGTCAAGATCAAAGACTTAAAGATTATTTACACAGTAACTAAAGTCACCAAGTATGATGACAAAAGTCATGATTAAGGAAAAAGACTTTGGGCAAGATATTAAAATCTTCAATACAAAAGAGTGACCAGGAGGTCTGTAAATGATCACAAGATGAAATAGCAAGTGGTGTGGTCTGATGGCATGCATTCAGAAAATCTTGGGATTTATTTATTTATTTATTTATTTATTTTATTTGGAAAGAAAAGTAGGTTTATTCAAAATGTCAGCATTCTCGGAGAATCAAAGCTTGCGTTTTTGAAGGAGAAAGATGGAGAAATGTGTTGGAAGCAGTAACAGACAGAAAGGAAAATATGGACCCCTCTTTCAGGGTATGTAAAAGAAAAAACAGCTACCACTCCAGGAAAAGCAAGGTTCATTTTAATGCACGGGGGAAGGTGAAGGAGACATTCAGAGAAGAGGTTGCAGAAACAGAAGATTTTGTAAATATTTCCCTAGACCTGAGGTAAATACTATAGATATGCAAAGCAGTGTGAGACACATGTCCCTTACTCTCTAAGAACTTTAGGTAGGCCTATGGGAGGTAGGTAAAGACATGAAACTATGGTACAGAACCAAATACGTGTCACTTTATAAGCTCTTTAGCCTTTTCCTATCACATTTATGGGTCAATAAGCATTTATTGAAAATACCACGCGCGGCCTGGCTGAGTGGCTCAGTTGGTAAGAGCACGTGCTCTGAACAACAAGGTTGCCAGTTCGATTCCCACATGAGCCAGTGAGCTGTGCCCTCTGCAACTAGACTGAAGGACGACAACTTGACTTGGAGCTGATGGTTCCTGGGGAATAATACACTATTACCCAATTTAAAAAAAAAGTGAGTGGCACCCTTCTTGAACAGGTGAAAAAAATGAGGCTCAGAAAGAAGTGGCTTATTGCAGCTTCAACCCTCATTAGTGGTCGATCCAAATCAGGAACCCAGGACTCTATTCAATCCACCAGGATGTATGCAGAGTCCTGAACTGGGAACCAGAAGAAATATAAACTATATTTCTCAACACCCTCCATGATTTCAGCTACAGTCTAGGTGAGAATATGATGCTCACAAATGAAATAATTTCAGCAAACAACATATCAATACACACAAAATATGCTACAAGTTGCCAAAGGGAGGCAGTGTAAAGTCACATGTGGTTTTTCAAGAAATATTTCCTGGTGATAGGAATTTTTATATGCTGTTCCTAAATTCTGTAAGTAATTCATGAGAATTAAAGAAAACTTGGAAAACACAGCAAAGGAGAAAGAAAAAGCAAACTACTTTTGAGGCCTCATCACTCAAATAGAATCACTATTCTGTTTTTGTGTTTTGGTGTTTTTCCATCTAATCTTTTTTTCTAGATATAGACTTTTAAAATTAATAGAATACAGTTGACCCTTGAATGACACAGGTTTGAAATGTGCAAATCTACTTATACACAATTTTTCTTCAACAAATACCTGTACTGTTTTCCATCCACAGTTGGGAGTCTGCAGATGTGAAGGACCCAAAGTATGCATTGATCTATGCCATTTTATATAAGGGACTTGAACATCAGAGGATTTGGGTATCTGAAGGAGCTCCTGGAACCAATCCTCCACAAATACAGAGAGACAACTTTAATTTGGAGGGAGTCAAATGTTATAAGATATTTTCAACTGGGGGGGGGTTGGTGTCCTGAACCCGCATGTTGTTCAACGGTCAACAGTATTTAATTTTAATAGACAAAACATGCAAATAATTCAAAATTCAAGAGGTAAAAATAAAGATAGTTAAAAAATCAGTCTTCTTCCCATCATCCACCACATCTGTCTTCAGCCAGTTTTCCTCCCATAAGTCCACCTTTATTCATAGATTTATGTTTTCAAGTTTCTAAAAAGCTTATTTGCATGCATGTTGCCTCTCCATGAGCATGGAGTCACTCATCATGGCAATATCATACTAGGCAAACACTGAATTTGGTGAAGGAATCTTCACACATGGAACTTTAATATTTTATCATAGAATCATGGAATTATAGGGATAGAAATCACTTACAGAATCATTCATTCATCTCCTGAAAAGAATAAATAAACTTTTCTAAGAGTTCACAGTTAGGAGAGCCAAGATGATAACCTAGGTTTTCTGGCTTTTATGTTAGCAATCCCTTCAATACAACATATTATAATACACTCACTCAAGAATACTATAAGAAAATGTGATATTTCCAACAACCCTCCCCTTCTTCCTTGCATTTATTTATGCCCCCCCTGAAGTTTTGGAGCTGGTCATAGTTATTGTTTTGTTTTTTTAATAAGTTTTATTTTTTTTTTAGAACTGTTTTAGATTTACAGAGAAACTGAGGTGATAGTTTTCATATTCCCCACACCCAGTTCCCCTATTATTAACCTCTTAACATTAATGGTACATTTGTTACCTGATGAAACAATATTGATTCATGGTTATTAACTAAACTCCATACTTTATTCAGATTACTTTAGTTTTTACCCAAAGTCCATTTTCTATTCCAGGATCCTATCCAGGATCTCATGTTATGTTTAGTTGTTATCATCATGTTTAGGTTCCGCTTGGTTGTGACAGTTTCTCAGACTTTGTTTTTGGTGATCTTGATAGTTGTGAGGAGTACTGGATGGATCTTTTGTAAAATGTGCCTCTATTGGGATTTGTTTGTTTTTCTTGTGATTATAGGTTTATTTTTTATTTAACATAACGCTAGGCTTGTAGCATAGGTTTGTATGTGTATATTATTTTCATGTGACGTTATTCACTTCTGAAAATTTATGACATTTTCATAAACACAGTTTTTAATGACTAAAATCCCTGCTCTGTTACATAAGATCTATGTGGCCTTGGACACGCTCCTGAACTTCACTGAGCCTTTGGTTTCCTTCTCTGTAAATGGTGCTCAAAGGATTGTCATGAAACAGAGTAGACTTGAGCAGAGGCAAAACACAATGCGAAGTTAGGTTTAAAGATTATTCAGAGTGGTGTTTAACCTAGACTGGGGAAAAATAGTCACCCAAGAGGCAATTTCAGTAGCTTAGGCTGCCAGGACTAGGAGGAAGGAAAGGAGGATGGTGCTCAGAGGCAGGTCCAGCCCATGCAACCTCCGTGGGGCCTGAGAATTAACTGGATATGGGTAGGATGAGCTGGAGCCACAGGAGGAGACAAGAACACCTTCATTGTTGGGATCCTCTAAGACCAAGAGAAATTTTGTGCCCTTGAGGGTCAGGAAAGAGAGGGATGGCAGATGTGTTGGTGAGGGAAGAGGCAAGAGCTTGGATTTGAATGTGTTTAGTTTCAGGTGGTGGCTATCTAGCCAAGTGATGACGTCTTGTAGAGACTCAGAGCTTGAGAGTGGATGGGCTCTCCGGAGGCTAATCCTGGAACTCTAGAACAACCAAGCTGGAAAGGGGCTAGAGATCATCTCAACTAACTACTCCCATTTACAAAGTGTCCCCTAAGGCCAGGTGCTGTGCAAGATCTGTCACCTTCTTTTTCACCCTGAATTGACCCTGTGAGCAGGGTAAGTGTTTTTATCCATACTTTACACATAATAAAATTGAGATTCCAAGGGTTAAGTAACTTGTCCCATCACATAGAGCTAGTTGGTCACTGAGCAGGAAGCAATCTTGTTGTGAAGTCAGGGCTACCCCTTGGTTTTTCTGCTATTAGACCAGAAGGCCTCCGACTCCTATGTGGCAAATGAGGAACCTGAGCCCCAGAAAAAGGAAGTAACCTGCCCAAGGGCACTCAGGTAGTTAGAAACTTAGTTAGGGCTATAAACCAGGCACCTAGAATTGGACTGACCCTGAGGGGCAACAACTGTTAAAGGGACTTGGGGCAAGAAAGAAAAGCCAGTAGAGAAAACACACAAAAAGAAATGAAGGAAGAACTTCTCTGCAGGGCTCACAAGGCCTTGCCTAAAGTTCTCCACGTCACCTCTTCTCTCCCCACCATAACTGCCACACTTTTGCTACACAGGCTACTTACGGTTTCTTGCTGTACCTCGTGATAATACACTTCACTGGGCCAGGAATGTCCTATTGCCCCAAACACTCCTGGAAAACTCCTGCTCGTTCAAGACCCAGCTTAAGCATTCTGTGCTATGTGAGGCTTTCCCATTCAGGCCTCAGGAGAGGACACCCCCTTCCAAGGACACTGTACAGGACCCCAACAAAGTGAACTGTGGGTCTCTGAGCACCTTCAGAGCAGCAATTTCATCGTATTCATCCTTCTTTCGCCAGGGCCCTGCGTGAGATCCCACCAAACAAAGACTTGTGGAGAAGGAAGGGAGGCAGAGCCCAGGATCACAGGAAGGGAGGAAGGCCCCAAAATGTAAAATCAGGAAAGCTGACTTTATCTCTTTCCTGTGCACACCTCCCCTCAGTCACTGGTCAGAACTACAGTGGACTGGATGCCCACAGAAGGATCCAGGCATTTGGCAAGTAGGGAAGCAGTGGTAAGGCAGAGCGGACAGATATATGATCACCATATTTATGCTTGCATGTACATAGATTACACATAAACTGCATATTTACACTGGAGAAATGGTACCAGCAGGTTGAGAAAGAATTCCTGGAACCAGGGCCTTGCTGAATGCTGAAGGGACAGGCTCTCGGCTGAGGTCTACAAGGGAGAATGGCAATGGGGAGGAGTTGAGAGACAGTCTTCTGGGCAGAGAGGTGGGCAGCTATGCGAACAGCCCTCTGGGAAGGAGTGGGCCTCCTGAGGATGGGCCAGGGAAGCCAGGCGCTGCTGTACACACTCAGCTGTCAGCCGTGCTTCCGGGTCTGCATCCCAACAGTCCTCTAGGAGCTCTCTCAGGCCGGCAGGGTCCTGGAAAGAATGACCAGGATGCAAGCTTTACTCCAAGATATTGAGTAGCCCAGAGTGGCCCCCAAGATGAAAAGGTGTCCACCACTGCTGTTTCCAACACTCTTCTTCTGATCCTTCTTAGAGCAGGCCTCCTCTCTCCCTCACTGAAATCCAGCCATCTGGAACTTGTTCCCTGAGACAGGTTCTCTGGGTGCCTTCCAAAAGGTCCACCTTTTCCTCTGAGGAGCTAATTCTGGTTAATGGCTTAACGTTTTTTTTGTGTATGGCTTTTTTGGGTTTTTTTTTTTTTTAGATTTTTAAAAAAATTCTATTTATTGGGGAATTGGGGGAGGGAGCAGCATTGGGGAATCAGGGAAGGGAAACAGACAAGTTGCTGTCCTTTTGTTCTTTAGTCTAGTTGTGGAGGGCGTTGCTTCACTGGCCTATGTTGGTATTATCATTGCGCTTTTCTCGGCTGAGGCAGATTGGTCGCCGGCCATTGGACGGCCGCTCACGGCAGCTCACGGCAGCTCACGGCAGCTCATGCCGGCTGCCGGCCGCTCATGCTGGCTGCCAGCCACTCACGGTAGCCCACAGCAGCCCACTGCAGCCTTCACCGTTGCCGACGACTCACGGCAGCCCAGCTCCAGATCGAGCTGTGTTCACCATCTTAGCTGTAGAGGGCGCAGCGCCACTGGCCCTCATGTGGGACTCAAACCTGCAGCCCAGCTTCTCAGAGCTCGTGCTCCCAAGCCAACTCTTAACCAACGAGCCACTCGGCCAGCCCTAATGGCTTGATGGGAAATTGCTCTCCTTCCTTTCAGGCAAACAGGATCTTCTACAAACAATGCCTGGGCCTCTGTTATCTAACTCAGCAAATACTTGTGCAGTGAAAACTTCAGACCAGGTATTTCACACCAGGTAGTAGGGGAAGGGTCTTCCTGTTAGGAAACTATTTGTCAGACCTCTGAAATTTCACTTTTAGGGCACTGCTTTAACACTTTATACCTAGAACTGGATGTTATTGAGTCATGGCAGAAATACAAATGTGTAGGACAGAATGAGGACTTATTGGATTGAATGGTGGGCTCCAGTGTACTAGGAGAGGGGGGCCATCTTGGGGTCAAAGCTCAGGGTAGAAATAAAGCCAAGGAGGGCTTCCTAGAGCAGGGGACTGAGGAATAGAGCTAACTGATAGTAGAGAGAGAGAAGAGAGACAGGCTGGGCAAAGCTGAGCCGGCGGAAGGTGTGTCAGGAATGAGCTGTGTGAGACTTATGGTGGAAGGGGATGAACTGAGGTACCGAGAGTTAGCTCATCTCGGCGGAACATGAACAAGGAGTGGTGGGAGATGAGGAGATAGGAGTAGAGGGACTGGTCCTGGCAGACAAGTCCTTGAAGCCCGTGCCCATCTCTCCAGGTCCCTAGCCCACCAGCCTGTGGCCTCTTACTGTGGTGAAGCAGCACCAGGTGGGTGGGATGTAAGGGCGCCTTCTCTCCTCCACTGCCAAGGTCCATAGCTCACAGGTGGTGGGAGTGCTTCCCAGTTCTGCCTCATAGGCCAGTTGGAAGGGTGGTGGTCTGCTGTCTGGGAAAAGCACATGGGGCTAGGTGTCAGCTAGCACTAAGGGCTCCTTCCTTGTGGAAAGACCAAGGTGGAGAGGGGCAGAGCTTCCTGGGTCAGGAGGTAGGTGGGTCTGGAATGGATGGGTGAGGTATTGGGGAAGTAAGAGCAGGTGGACTGTGGCACCCATCCTTACCAGGTCGCAAATCTGAGCAGCGGCTCAGGATCTCCCACAGGAGCAGAGCCAAAGAATAAACGTCGGCTCGCCGGAGGGCTGTGCCCCAGTCCTGTAGGTCCAGAGTCTTGTCCAAGAGCTCTGGCGCCATGTACCTCTGGGTGCCAGCCTGAAGAGCAAGGCATAAAGGGCCAAGAATCATCTTCTTGGCAAGTCTCACCGTAACACTGGTCCATGCAACATCCCCCCAACTACAGACTCAGCAATGTCCCAAACACTATAGGCACTGCTGCACTGTTGCTACAGCAACAGGCACTACAGCATCAGCACCACCATGGTCCTCCTGGACCTCATCCTTATCCAGAGTACTTACCTCCATGATAGCGGCTGGGCCTTGGGGTTGAGTAGGGGCCCAGACAGGGGGTTGAGTGAGGCCAGGGAGCACCAAGGCGAGGCCCAGGTCTCCAATGGCACATGACCCATCCTCCCGAATGAGCACATTTTGGCTGCTCAGATCTCGGTGGGCTATACCTGGTTTATACTGGCCTGCGGGAGAAGCCAAGGTTAATAGGGCATGGATCTTCTTCATTTCTCTTTTGACCCAATCATTCCCCTCCATGCTAAGGGAGACTCAGAAGCAGCAGTGTGGCCCTTGACTCCCATGGCTTCCTGACCCCAGCTCACCCACCATCCTGCCAGCGCTCCTCATGGAGAAATGCCAGGCCCTGTGCCAGGGACAGTGCCATCCTCAGGGAACTTCCCCAATCACTGGTGTGCTGGGTCAAGTAGTGGCACAGGGAGCCCTGGTGAGAAGTAGAGAGAACAGGAGGACACACAAAACTGGAGGTGACTGATCCACCCCAGGGAGCGGAGATAAATTGACATAGTTCCCCCTGTATCTCCCAGCAGACCAACGCACTAACACATCCAGGCCAAGACAACAGGCAGTAGCAGAGTGAGAACGTGCATCAGTCAGATTGACAGGAAAAATAGTAACTCTAGCTCAAGTGTCCTGGGCACTTACTGGGGGCCAGGCCTCTTGTAATCCTCACAACAACCCTAGGAGTTATGTACTCCTGCCACTCCCATATTACAGGTGAGGAGCTTGAGAGAGAGATAAGTAAGCTTGGTGGAAGTCACTTGGTGAGAGAAAAGTGGAGCTTGAACCCAGGCAGTCTGATGGTAGCATCACTCACTGTTAACCACCTTATGCTGCCTCGGAGGACTTGGAACAAAGACAGAAACAGAAGAGGCAGGGCAAGCTAGGCTGGGGCACCTCTCATGAACCACCTGGCCTGAGGTGTCAGGCCTGCATGGTAGAGCTAACCAATGGGTAGAGCCATTGGGTAGGAGAGTGGCGGGTAGGGAGCAAGTGGGAATTGGAGGGAAAGGAGCAATCGAGTCCCTCATTTAACAAACACTGAGCACCTTCAGTGTGCCAGGAAAGTCAAACAAACAAAAGCAGTGATTTTTTTTTTTTTTTTAGCTGAGCCACCTGTTGGCAGCTCGGTGGCAGCTCAGCTCAGGCCGGGAATCGAACAGGCGACCCTGTTGCTCAGAGCTCATACTCTTGAGTGAGCTCTTACCCAACTGAGCCACTTGGCCGGCCCTCAAAAGGAGTGATTTTTGAGCTGAGCATTGAGGCACATGGTCAAAGAGGGGACTTTCCAGAATTCAAGATTTCGGAGGTGGAGTTATAGGTGCTGATCAAGTTCCAAGTCCTTAGTAGGCCCACAAGGCTGGGTGTGGTTTGGCCCCTGCTTACCTCTTCCTCTTCATCCTTATTGCTCATGGTCCTCCCCTCAAGTTACATCTCCTTACTCTTCTCTTGGAGTACCATGGCCCTCTCTTTTGGCACCTAACACACTTGACATTTTACACTTATTTGTGTGTTTACTTGACCCACTTCTTTCTCACCTACTACTCCATAAAATCTGTAAAGGCAGGGAGGGACTGGGTGTGTTTTCCCTAGCACACAACACAGTGCCTGACACACAATTCATAAATATTTGTTGAATAAATATATGAATGAGTTTGGAGGGATAGGCCTGGAGGTGTTTCTTTAACAATGATTTTATTTAAGGTACAGAATATGAATTGCTTTGATTTCTCCTTTTCCTTATCTATTTTATGAGTTAAAAATATTAGCCAGTGTAATAAAAAAGGAAAAACAATAACAATCATTTTTACTGTTTTAGGGAAGAGGAAATCTAAAGCAGAAGAATAAGCATGGTCAGAGCACAGCTGCCATCCAGCCCCCCACCCCTCTAAATTCACACACAGGCAAACCCACATGTACACATTCCTTGATCCTCACCTTGGGGTGCAGTTCCAATACCAGCAGGGGCCCACAGGGCAGGGGGCCAGGGCCTCCCCTGCTGGCAGTGATAAAGCGGACAATGTGGTCGTGCTGAAGGCCTGGCAGCTCATACAATGCTCTCTCAGCTCGGAACTGGGCCACAGCCCTCAGGGGGAAGGCCTTGATGGCTACCAGCTTGCCTTGCAGCTGCCCAGCCCACACAACTGCATGACCTCCTTCCCGGATTACCTGGTGGGGACACAGTACTGGGTGCAGGCCTCAGCTAGTGCTAGGGCTAGGCTTCCTCTCCAGCACACCCTCTGGGAGTGACTAGCAGACCCTCTCCTCCCTCCCTGGGCACCTGGGAGAAGCACAGCTCAGGTAGCTCAGGCAGCTCCGCACTCCAATCCCTGCCTGAGTCTGGCTCTGGCTCTGGCTCTGGCTCTGGCCCACCTTGCACTCTGCAAGCCTTTCGCTGTAGCAGGGCTGGAGTAGAGAAAAGCCTTAGGGTCAAGGTGCACAGGGTGGAGACTGGGAAGGGGGCTTTGTGGGAGGTCATGGGGGTCAGGCTGTAGAGATCTCGTAACTATGGGCTCAGGGTAGCCTGGAAAGAGGTCAGAACTTCAGGGCTGTGTCTTGGGGTCACAAGGGAGGGATGGGGCAGATTAGTACCCAAGATGATGCTGCCCAGCAGCAGCAGGAGGAGGAACAGCCCCAGCAGCAGCACCGCCATCCAGATGGACTCGCCTGGGCATTAGGACAAGAATGTAGGCTGGATGAGCCCCGCCCCAAATCCACTGTCTGCTCCTCTCCCCCTCCTCAGAGATCTTGCTTCTGGACCCACCCCCACCCTGGTCACAAGCCCCCTTATCTACCAGTCACCAGGGCAACGAACTTCTCAAGGCCAGGAGGAGGGAAGCTTGGGACGGGGTGTGGGGTGAGACCCGGCCCTGGTTCTACCTCTCATCCTAACCTGGTCTCCAGCCCCCACCCAGCTTCAGCACCCCTGGGGGCTACCTGGGATAGCCTGGGGACCCTGGGAGCCAGGAGTCCCAGGGCTCCCCAGAGGAGGCAGTTGGCTGTAATTGGCATTGCAGAAGTCAGTGCCACAGGAGCAGGTGAAGAGAGTGGAGCTGGGGCTGGGCTGGGCTCGGGGGCTTGGGTCACAGTGGGGGGACTCACAGCCTGGCTCATCACTGTCTCGGCATCCTGATAGAGTAGAAGAGAAGAGAAAGAGAAAGAGAGAGCCGGAAAGACAGAGACAGAGCCAGAGAGCGTGCGCACATAATGGGGTCTGAGAACAGAGAGGATAAATCCCTTCTCAGAAGTACCCCCTCCAGCTTAGATGGGCTTTTCTGTCCCACCACACATTCCATTTATCCTCCTCTCCCTCAGCAGCCACCCCAGCCCAGGATGTACCTATCTCCCACCTTAGCTATCACCTGCCATATACTTTGCCATTCACCTTGCATCTCCACCTGTGCCTGGTCTTGGGTAAGGTTCCAGATCCCAAAGCAGCAGTGGCTGTAGAGGCAGCGGATAACCCTGGGGGACCCTGGTCCTGCATCTATCAGCTTCCCGAGTGTCTTTGTGCTTCCCCGCACTCCGGGGGCCTCAAAGAATACACAGGTCCGTCTGCTTGGAGGTGCTGTGGCCCAGGGTGGGGAGAGGGGAGGATTCAAGACAGGAGTGAATACAGGGGCAAAAACAGCAGGCAAAGGGAGACAAAACACGTTTCATCTTCCAGGGCTAGCATGGTAAAGCCATAGGAGGAAACAGGGTCAGCAGAGTCCTGGGACCTGACCCCCACCATGGGACACATGGCTCTATCCTTTACCCTCACACACCCACCCCACTCACCACTCTTCCAAAGGGGTGGCTGCTGCTTCAAGTGCCCCTTTCCCTCAGTGGGTGAGTGGAAAGATCCTGCCCCTCCTGTAGACACTTACCTTGCACAGCTGCAGGAAGCAGTGCCCAAAGCCCCAGAGTACCCAGCATCGTCTGGAAGGAGGCAGCAGCAGGAGGGTAGCATGAGCCAGCACGGCTGCCCCTGGCCAGAGCTTCCTTCAGACACAGGGCACTGTGGGGCTTCTGATCCCTCAGTCCCCAACTCCGCCCCCCCTCCCTCTTCCCAGTCTCTGTGGGGGAGATGGCTGCTGTGGGGGAGAGGATGGGTGTGGGGAAAAGCAAGGAGAGAGAGGAGGAGCAGAGAACCAATCTCATATCCTCCTCTCTTCAGCCACCTCCTCTTTTCTCTGCAAAGTGGGAGGCGGGGGGGCCTTGGAGGCCCAGCTGAGAACCCAGTGATGCCTAACTGACCCTGGAATAAAGTACTGGATCCTGCCCGCCGGGAAACCAAAGTGAGGTCAAGTGCTCAGAGCCATTCAGCTGTGCCCAAGATCCCTTCTAACCCTTGTTTTCAGGGCTCAGATCCACAGCTCCGTGGGAAGAGAGAGGCTTCACAGCCCATACTAGAGTTGACCTCATTTTCCAAACTCAAGAATTGGAGAGCAGTTATATAGAATTTCTCAAAGTTTAAAAAAAAAAAACACATAGAAAATGGTATAATGGTAAATTTTATGTTACCAAATTTTTAAAAATCATTTTGAGTCACACACTGAACAAATCACCATTCTTGAGAACAAACTTTTATTGAGCATCTATGTGCTAAGGCACAGCTAGGGCTATGCATTTTACATCTAATTCTCCCGTTGAACTACTTATTATTATCTTCACTTTATCAGTCAGAAAGCTGAACTTAACTAGCCCAAGGTGACTGGAACCTCGGTTAAGTCTAACTCGAAAGTCCAGGCCCTGTTCTTTGCATTATGCCATGATGCCTGAAAACAAATACAAAACTCAGCAATAAAAAATATTTCCATTTAATACAGTATTTGAATTTGGATTGTTGAGAAAATATGCACCATTACCTGCCAGCAGGCCATTAACTAGATAGGGAAGGTGCGGTTCAAACTCTCACCACCAGAGGTCAGCAGACGTAGGAGAAACTCGGGTGCAGTGAGGGGACCTCTTCTGATGGGTGATATCCATAGTACACTTAACGTCTATTAAGCTGCAGGGACTGTAAAATGGGAAGGGAGGGCACAGAGTGTACAGAGGGAATGTCAGCATGGCAATAGGAGAGGTCTATAGCTTGTGCTGCAACAGAGAGACAGGAGTCCAATTCCACCAGACTCAAGAAACTACAGTAATAGATCATTTCCATACCTGTGAGCAGCTGGCTCCCATGAGAATTAGAGAGTCAGAAGGGGCCAGTTCCCTGTTTTCCTAGCACCCTTGTGGCTACCTAGAAACCCTTTCTGGGAATTGTCAGGCTTTGACAAGGGATGAAGGTCTGAGCATTGACTCTGATTCTGGAGCCTTTCTCCTGTGAAGCCTGAATGAAAGGAGAGTGAAACTCCAGCAGTTGTGAAGCCAAAGTTGAAGGAATGAGGGCTGGAGGCAGATGGACAGCTGCCCATCCCTCCGTGGGCCCTTCTGGGAGTCTGCAGGACCCTGCCAGTAAGATGACCGGAATGTACTTAGTTACAGCTATCTTCCTTCACCAGCTCCCAGATCAGATATGGGGTAGGAGTGGGGAATAGGGGGAGGACTTGAAGGTCAAATAACTTCTTGTGTCTGGAGTGTCTCAAGAAGACTATCTCCTCCAGAGGGCGGGGGTGAGAGGGGTGGGGGGTGGGCGAGGTAAGGATCAGGCAGAAAGGCAGAGAGAGGTTCCTCACCCAAAGGTTTGGATAATCTCCCCTATCAAAGATAGAAACATTCCAGCCAGGTTTATGGGAAGTATACCTGCTCTGGGCATTCAGAGTTTGGAGTTGAGATGGTGATAGAAGGGGTAAAAATCTGGGAGCTGAGCAAGGACCTCAGCATAGGAAGGAAATAAAAGCTTCCTGGATTCTGCATACACAAAGATCTTCGTCAGAATCCCCTGATTTAAGTGTGCAGTGGCCCAATAATTGATCTTTGACCCCACTGACTACAAGCCTAAAGTGAGTTGTTTATTCATTCAACTCAGAAAATATCTATTAGGTCCCAGTCTTCAAAAGGTATTTCATTAGGTGCTGAGCCTGTAAAGATGTGTGATTCCTGCCCTCCAGGAACTGTCTGGAAAGGCAGGACGATAAATCAACAAGCAACCAGAAAATTATATATCAGACCACAGGTATGAACAAGCAGCTACACATGCAGAAAGATCAAATAAGCTAATTCTGGCCAGGGCATAAAAGACAAGAGAAGAAAGGTGCCCAGAGGGTCTTACAGAGAAAGGGATCTTTAAATTATCTCAAAGGTAAACATACTAACAAGGAGTAAAAGGAGGGTGTCACAGGCAAAAGGAACAGCAAGAACAAACACCCAGAGGTACGAACCAGAGAATCACCCTACAGATAGACTGAGACCAGATTGGAAAGGTTTCCAATTCTATATCAAGTTTAGACTTTCCCTAAAAGGAAATGATTTTAGGCAAGGGTCTGGTGACAATGTGGAAGATGATTGGGACTCAGGGAGACTAGAAGCAAGGTCAATTACAAGACCTCAGCAGCAGCCAAAGTGAGTACTAGGACAGTAGAAATTTCAAAGGAAAAAAGTGAGATACATTGTACTGGTAATACTAACAGGACTGGTAATCAAATGAATGTCGGGAGATGAAAGGGAGAATTAAAAGATGATTCTTCAAAAATAAATGCTCAAAGGGTAGTAATACTGTTGAGAGGAGGAACACAAGGGTTATTTCCCTTTCTTACATGTTGAGTTTGAGTTATCTGTGGGACATCCAGATGAAAAAGTCCAGTAAGCAGGCTGCCAGATTGGGAGAAAAGGAAGTGCTTAAGATTTCGGAGTCACCAACACGTGTTTAAAAACTAAAGAGTAATTAAGAATGGATGCAATTTGTTTAAAGGGGTGAAAGGTAGAGTAGGGAAAGAATACAAGACAGGGGAGCATCAACAATCAAGGGACAGAGAAGAATGGCTATGAAGGAAACTAAAAAGAATAGTCAGAAAGGTTAAAGGAGAACTGGGAGACTGTCTGATTCACACTCCATGGGAAGGAAGCTCTAAGATGCACGTTTATTGCAGAGAGGTTTGAGGCAAACGACTGAAAGACCACTGGAGCTGGTAACCAGGTGGCCAATGTTTATAAGAAACAACTTGGTCAAGGATGGGTGCTGAACAAAGTGGCCTGAGGGTGAATAAAAGAGGAAAATTGAGGGTAAACTGGTTTCACTAACTTTGGAAATGGAAAGAACTAAATCAGTAGCTTAGAGGAAGCAGAGATTTTCAAAATGGAGAGAAGGAATTTTAACATGCTGATAGGCTGACAAAAGAGAACCCAGACTCAAGATAAAAGGAGGAAATACCATCAAAACAAAGAAAAAGTCAAAGAAAATGAGCACAAGTGGCAGGGTTGGCCTTGCAAAGGGAAAGAAGTATTTTCTTCTAAGAAATTGGTGAATACATAGATGTTTGTAAGAATAGGACAAGGAAGTTTTTGAGGAAATTCATGCTTCCATTTTCTCCATGAAATAGAAAGCAAATCATCTGCTGAAAAATTGGGTCAGGAATGGGAAACTTGGAATTAATGGTATTTGTCTCATTCGCCAGATTGTGAAGTATTTGGTGGCAGGGCCTGTCTTATTTCATTTTTCATGCTCAGCCTAGCTTAGTACCCAGCACATAGTAAGGGCTCAACAAATGTTTGTTGAATGAATAGATGGCACCACTATTAAATGCCCATTTAAGGCTGCAAAACCAAAAAACCCCCCAAAATCGACAAACAACGCTCCCCAATAAAGTCGAATGTTAAAATGCTACATTGCGGCTGGCTACATAAGGGTGAGTGATTGACAAAGCAGACACAGGAAATCAAATGAGCAAAATAATCAAGAATGTTGGTAACCACCGCATAAACAATTAACCAAGGATTCTTTGGTAGGAAGGGAAACTGTAGGGAAATTGGAAAGGCTGTCAGAATAATTTCAATTTCAGTTTCTAAAGGGGTCACAATCCAGATTCAATCATGTTAGACACAGGCTGGTGTTAACTGAATGTAAAATTTGGGGGGGGTTAGACCTTGGTTACCAAATACAATTCTCCAATAAAAAACCCCAATGCTCCTTGGAGAAATGGCTGATTCTAGGACTGGGGCAGGAAAAACACAAGATGAGTCTGAAGCATCTTATCAGAAAGTGCTCAAAAATAAATAAATAAAAGGATGTAGACATATCAAAGGGACACAGAAGCCAACCTGAAAGAGCTCACAATGGTCAAAGCTGGGACAATCTGAACCACAAAAATGTAGTATTGGATTATAACAAAATATAAATACACCCAACATTTAAGAAATAAGTGCATACTAATATAAGTTAACGGGGAAGCGTTTCCTCACAGAATTCCAAATACTCTATAAAGATATTACCCCCACCAGGAGGGGAAGTTTAATTCCCATTAAAGGTGGGCTAGACTTACTGACTTGTTTCCAAAGAACAGGGAAAGAGAAACTGAAGAAACTGGCAAACATCACCTGAACTGAGTGATGGTTACCATCAGTAATGTGGCTATCACATACCCCTTGAATAGGATGTGATGAAACGGGCATTTCACCTGAGTGGTATTTTTTATAAAACCTACTAAGCTCAGTCTAATAATGAGAAAAACATCAAACTCAGATTTGTGGATATTCTACAGGACATCTGGCCAATACTCCCAAAGACTGTCAAGGCCATGAAAAGAGACAAAACTGTCACAGACCAGAGGAGACTGGGGAGACATATCAACTGAGAGCAATGTGGTATCCTGAAATGGATCCTAGAACACAAAGAGGGCATCAACGGAAAAGCTGGTGAAACCCATAAAGCCTGGGGTTTAGATAACGTAATGCAATGTCAGTTTTTTTAATTTTGACACATATACCATGATATGTTAACAATGGGGAAAATTGGGTAAGGGGTGTATGGAAACTCTGTGCTAATCTTCGCAACTTTCCTTTAAATTTAAAAGTATTCCAAAATAAAAAAAGCTTCTTTTAAAAAATGTTGGGGCTGTCCCTATGCCTCTTGGCCCTCCACATTTCTGCGTAGTAGTGGCACACTGATCTGGTCATGACGCTGTATACCTGGGAGTTAAGTGTAAGGCGAATACACTGATTAACATGTATGGGAGCACAACGGTGTAGCTGGAAACCTTTGTTGGGTTCAGCATATGAAGTTATATCCATCTTCTCCGCATTCCCAACCCTCTCAACACACCAGAGACATGCCTTTTTATTAAAAAAAAAAACATTTTTTAATTGGTTTACAAAGGAGCTACAGACTACATTGAAACTATCTTTGTACAAAAAGGCCAAAAAAAAAAAAAAAAAGCCCCCAAACACCCAGAGACAAAAGGCAGGAGGAGACGCAAGAAAGGAAGATACAAAAGAGCAGGAAGAAACTGAAAGACAAGAGATTAGCATCATACATACAGGGGGGGAAAAGAACAAGAGAGATGAAGAGAGCATTTAAAAGTATTTCCCCACACAGCCCTGGTGATAACTGGATTGGAACCAACAACAAACACAGCATGAGATTATTAAGAGGTTTAAAAAGGCAACAGTGGTATGAAGACTGGTTATTGCCAATGTTAAGAGAGAGAAATAAACTTGTTTTAGGCACCAGAGATAGAAGCACCACCCAGCAGGCCTTAGGGCAGCTGCCATCGGTGTGTGTAGAAGGGGACTCCTCAGGTCAATCTCAGCCTATTTTCCCCATCTTTCCCCAAAGTCTTTGTGCCCTAGATTCCAGGTGAGGGCTATGGGATGCCACTGGGAGAAAGGGGTGATCAGAAATATGAAGACCTGCCCTTGTCCACACTGTTCAAGAGCAGTTAATTGTTGGGAAAGTGGAGGGCTGAGCAGAGGAAGCCCATCCCCTGTGGAGAAGGCACAGTGTCATTCCCGAAGGTGACAGTGGAAAACACACACACCCCAGGAGAGGCATCAACAGTCCTCATTACCTGCAGCCCCAGGTTAAATGCCATTTGTTACGCTTTCTTTCGAATACTGAAGGCAGTTGAGGGACAGATCACCACACCTCCTCTCTCTTAGCAGGGACAAGGCAGGCTGGGGTTTTAGATAATGAAAGGGGGAAATAGGATAAAATACTAATTTCTCTCAAATGAACATTGTGGAGAAAATCTTTTTGGGTTTGGGAAGTCAAACTAGAGAAGACCTAGGGGAGGAATGAATCCAGGGACGCCCCCTTTTTATTCCTTTCCCAGCCTTCAATTTAAGGCAAGCGAGCCAAATCTGGGAGGGAGTAGGAATTTAAGTTTAAGGCTGCTTATTGTCCTCCTGGGGGGGGGGGTGTTTAGGGAAGGCAGACAAAGAAAAGAAACAGGTCAACCTCAAAGCTGGTCTGCTCATCCTCCTAGAAAAGATCTGTACCCCAGGAGTAGAGCCAAGAGGCACCAGAGAGCACACAGGCTCTGAAACAAAAGTAAAGCAACCTGCTCATGTTTTATCAGTTTTCAAAAGCAATGTTTTCCGGGGTTGGAGAACTGCCATGTCCTCCTCCTTCCCCCAAAGCTACTGCTGCCACCTTTCATCCTTGCACATAAGTTACTGGCTCTCTTCTAAGGGAGATGAAACTCTGAGATTTCACATTTCTCCTCCCTATCCCAAGAGGCTACCAGCTTTGAATCAGGAGGAAGGAGAGCTATGCAAAGGGCCCCCCACTTGAGGCAGCTACTCGATCCTCTTTTCCTTCGTACCTGGATCTCCAAACCTCTTGATCTGATCCCAAGGTCCAAAAGGCATCAGGGTACTTACAACTGAATGAAAACTTTAAGCAAGTAGCACCAGGGCTCCCCCAAAGAATAACAGGGGCCTGATTAATACCCCCAGAAGAACCCCTCAAAAAGTATATAAATTTATTGCGTCCTAGCAAAGATCTGCAGCTTCCAGTATTCACACAATGTGAAGATATTAACAATACAAAATATATTCTGAAAGTCAAACATCTGCAGTTCATAGTGCTTTCTCAGATTTGTTAAAAAAATACAATGCTTAGTTTCCTATATAGGATATACAAAAGCAAAAAATATATATATGTATATAGTAGAAATAAATCAATCAGCCATAGTAATTTACAGCTTTTGTCTCTAACCCTCCCCCAATCATCTTTACCCCACACTGCAGTCTATTCTTTCTGGGATCAAGGGTTCTATTTATTCTGAATCAAGCTGAAATATCCATTAAATTTCATTCTGCATAGCACCTACAAACAGGGCACCAGCTGGGAGGTCCCTGAAGGAAGATGTGGGTTGTTACTGCTCTGGGTAAAAACTGAGACAGTCAAATGATACGCAGATGAATGTGAATGGGCAACCTGAAAGGACAAGGGAATGAGTGCTTTAATACAACCACTCCTCTGGGATGCCCTGCCCCACAAGATTTGGTCATTTAAGAAAATTAAATTTAAAAAAAAAGGAACTCACAAAAAAAAATTTAGAATCAATATGCTTGTCAGTTACATTAATTTCTGCCGGCCAAAAGTTCAGGGAAAGGGATTTTCAGCAATAAGCTCCTGACTCAAGGAATGTAGGCTCCTAACTTCCTATGGAAAAGACTGAGTGCCTCACTTCTGCTAGGAGACAAAAGCAGAAGCTGCTTCAGTTGCGGGGCCAAACAAGATACTGGATCTGGAGCTTCTTGGTGAGAAGAAAATAGGGCCAAGTGGAAAGAATTAGATATAAATTTACTCATAGTAATGCTGATGAAGGTGGGGTCAAGGGTAAACCAGCATTCCATCCCAGAGAGAAACAATATCAAAATAACCTTCTAAAAGCTTGCTGTCCTCAGCTTCATTAAGCTAGTTTATACTAATAATTTCACACTGGGGAAGATTCCATTCCTTGAAATGCTCTAGCAAAGTACTGCATACTCCAGTGAGTTATCTGCCCCTTTCTTCCAAAAGATGTCTATGTACATGATTATAGACATAAAATAACAGGTTCTGAGTTCTGCCTTTCAGTGAGAATAACGGGTATGATAAGTGGCTGGGCATGGGTGACTTTTTTTCAGTATTAACAGAATTTGATCTGGGGAAAGTTCCTTATAATGGTTCCTGAGTGTTAAAAACAGTATTAACTGCAGAGAAAGAACCAAATGGAGTGAACTACTGTTTAGAATATTAACAGCTATTGTATTTCAGGTTAAACAACACAAACTTACCCAAACCCTAATTTGGATAGATTTTATATAAAATATATAGTAGAATCATAGCATCATCTATTTGTAGTCAAGGTAAAAAGATTTATGAAAGGAACTAGGACTCTGCTATACATCTGAATGTTGGTTTCACTTTCAAACACAAAAATAGTTTCTTCTTTTAAAAGTGCAGTAGAATATCTCCCATTCTCCCAAAATTGTAGCTAATTTAGCATAAGCAAAGAAATGACCTCAGGAACATACCCAGGTTTTAAGATAGATTTCTAGGTAATAAGCCTGAAAGGCATTTTGATCTGAATTTGATTTATTTTCCAACAATTTTAAATATAATTTCTCATCTGTGTGTAGATATATACAGGCACAAACACACATTCACACAGTCATACACAAACACTTAACTTTCTATCAGATCAGGGTAATTTTTATTGCAGGTCTCTTTTAGTATTGGCTAACAGAAAACCTATCCCCAACCTAACAGATTACACACATACACACAGCCATTTTCACACTTCCTCACAGTGAAAAGCCCTCTGACAAGATACCAGAAGGTCAAGAGAGACGATGTTTTAATGGCTGGGCCTTGAGGACAACTCTGGTTGCATTTAAATCTCAGTGCCAAATGCACTAAGAGTTCCCTGCCGCTATAATTTTTGGATCAGTCTCTTCAGGAATCAGGACATGGAAAAAGCAAGATGGTTTCTCCCGATCTCTCCTATAAACCACAGTGGTAAGACAAGATTTCTTTTTGTTCTGGGCTATCATTCCCATGATCATGTGCTTCCTTTTCCCTTAGGAACCACCCAAGGAAGAGTTAAGGGAAAAGATAAAAGAACCACTGCCTTGCCACTAGTACATGTTCTGGAGTTCTGCAGAACGGAAACCCGGAACAGAGTCATTGGCTGATGCTCCTTAATAACGTAATGGAAAAGAAACTACTGGGGATGTTCAAAAGAGGAAGTGTATTTCCTCTCAGAACTCAGAAACGTATGTGAAATCAAAATTTAGAGCTACCTCGGAAGACAGCTGTACAAAAGTCCAAATACTCCACTAACTCCTGAACTGGGCCACTTCTGCTTCTGACATCATTTCCTATTAAAAGCCCCTACCTATTATTTGACCATCTTTTGACAGTTTATACAAACTGATTCCAGATTATAACCTTCAAAGGGTCTCTTGTACAATTCCACAGAAAGACTTCTGATTCTTGATGCTTAGAGCAGCTAATGAAGAGAAGTGCCTTTGACTCTCCAGCGCCAAGAGGGTGCCTGCGTCAGTAGTATTTTGAACACTCTCTCCACAGCCACCTCAAGCAGCATCAGCCTGAGATTCATGGTTTCTCCATTCTGCTGCTGGGACTAAGGACTTGAAAAGGTTCACAGAAGTGCCTCATCCAGGGATCATTACCCAAAACATGAAATGATGAGGTGAGAGAAAGGGAGACAAAAAGGGTTGAGGTCAGGAAAAGGAGTGCAAGAAGCTGATCCCAAATAAAAAGGCAAAATTAAGAAAAAAAACCATTATGTATGTATATATAAACTAAAAGCAAAGCATATGAATGCTTAATCTGGTGGGAAGCCAAGACAACATCTATAGAAGTTTGATGTTGTCACAACAAGGCTCAGCCATAAGGAAATAAGGCAATATAAAAAAATGACCAAGGTATTTTGGTCACAGAATGGTCTCCTTCCTCCTCCCAGCCAACCCCTGCAAATGCATCTCTATATATCTTTTACATATATATATATATATAATATAGAATCTGTTTTTTGTTAAAAAGTATTTCAATGATCATATATATTTAACAAGGCATGATGGCTTTAGGAAAGGGGGGATCCATCATGAGGGAGCTGAGAAAGGAAATGCAGGACAGGGAGGCTGGGGTAAGAAATGTAAGAAGAAACTGGCTGGGGTCAAACAAATGCTCATCAAAGGGTGGCACCAACAGAATTTTCACTCATGTTTACCACTTCAAGGAGGTACTGATGATATAGGTGGGTGCCAGGACCCCATATCTTCTCTTATATCCCTCCCCCAATTCTTCCCTCCACCATGCATTTTAATGCCTCGTGGCTCTCTCTCCCACATGTCTCTTGGACCCATGCTACCTTGCATCCCGGGGTTGATGGGTATGGCCCATATGTCTCTGGCCCCATGTGCCTGATCTCAGAAGCCATTGCCACTGATATTAATGGACTGCAGATCCGCCACCTGCATGACGTTGATGCCACTGTTGGCAAGACGGGCAATACCCTCTGGACAGATGGCCTCCATGGCTACCATATTGGTGGTAATGAGGGCCGAAGAAGTGGCGGCGCCACTGCCTTCAGAGCCTGCCCCACTATCCAGGGGCAGAGTGCCCACACTCAGGGCTACACCTGGGCCTCCCTTCTTATTCTGGTGGGTCTTGATATGCTTTGACAGGTGGTCGCTCCTCATAAAGCGTTTGGGACACTCAGGGCAGGCAAATTTCTTCTCACCTAAGTAAAAAAAAGAGAAAGAAGATAAGAAACTGACATCTTAGGAAGAAGGGGTATCTTGTCCAATTACTGCTTTCAAACTATAATAGGCAGAATAAGGCCAGGTTTAGAAGGTGATAAAAGCAAGAAAAATTTAGTATCTTTTGCTTTAGGGGTAAGAAAAACAGGTAAAGATTGGGAATAGCAGTTCCTGGCCATACATCTTCACACCACAAACCCGAGTAGAAAGTGTCTGTGGCCCTGCATTCATAACTTAAGGCCCAAGTTCACTCTTCTTGGACAAGCTTAACTCCCCACCCCTTGAACCAAACATTCTGTGGGGAAGGGATGGTTTAAGCCAATCACAGCCCATTCCTGAAGCTGGAGGTAGGGTTGATCCCACCCAAACCACATACTAGGAACAGAGACAGAGGGATCGTTTTCAAAGGAAACTTGGCATGCTGGTACCAAGAGGAGGGGAATAAATGGGAAAAAAAAAAGGGTTGGGGAGTATTCATAAAGGAAGAATATAGCAGCAAAGTAAGGCAGGACTGGGACTAAGAAGAGTAATGGGGTCCTCCTTCAAAATCCCATTCAAAATCCAGCTTCTTCGTTCTTAAAGGTTTTTCAGATTAACTCCAATTCCATTTATGATCCATACAATTCAGTTTCAAACGTAAATTGCTCAGAAATTTTAGTTATTTCATAGGTAAACTTTGTGCCTTTCCATTCTTGTCTATTATTATTTCTTTCTTCTCCAGGGTCCGGCTCACCTGTATGTGTGCGTTTGTGCCTCTGTAGCTCATCTGAACGTGTGAAGCGCTTCCCACAGTATGGCCAGGTACACATGAATGGCCTCTCGCCTGTATGCCAGCGCAAGTGTGCCCGTAAGTGTGAGGTCTTGCCATATACTTTGCCACAGCCTTGAATGTGGCAAATATGCTGTTTCTTTTTGCCAGGATCGCCAGAGCCCCTGAAAGTGAGAACACAACTATCATCATTCTAGAGATAAAAATTAAAGAACCACAAAGTGTCAACAGTAATTACCTGACCCACTCAAAAATAACCCACACTTTCATGTTTTAAAAAGGCTTCTCTTTAGTATCAGCAAGATAAATCTGGTTCTTAATACCCAAAATTCAAGATGTAGGTTTCCTTTCTATTAGATATTTGCTCTTTTCTGCTTTCCTGTTCCTTAATCAATTTTGATGTTTGAAGAAATGATCACTCTAGCAGTGACTTGTGAAGTCCATGGGGCATTTTCTTGTATTTTACAGAAAGTTTAAGTCTCAATACAAGCATTTTTTATGGGAACTACTGTGAAGGTAGTGATTTTTTTTTTGGCTGGGAACTTACTTAATGAGCAAAAGGTCTCTCCATTTAGGCACGTAGTGGAGAACTTTAAGGGAAATATAATATTTTACAACTATAGAACTTTTTTCCTAGAATAAATAAAGGTCAAGAGCCAAATGATAACCATTAAAAGGTGAAAAGCTGGAGCAGTATCAGGGACTTCAATGAAAGAGGAACATGGGCTAAATAAAATTTAAAAGAGGAGAATAAGGACCCTCACTAATTCAAGGTATGCAAAAAACTATTCCCTGTATGGAGCAGATCCTAAGCTCCTCTCAGGAATCAGCTCTGAAATGTTTTTGCCAAACCAATTTGTTCCATGTGTGATCCATTAGTGGGCATTGGGGAGATTTCCAACAGGGATTTTTCTGGGGTTTTAACAGCACATATTAGCAGAGGGAAAAAAGCATAACGGAAATGAAATCACACTTAGGTAGAAATCAGAGAATTTCCTTCAAAAATTTAATCTACTTTAAGCTTTGTTAAAGGGAAACACTACTGTACTCAGTGCTTTCAATTCAGGCTTTTCCTGTAATGTAGGGTAACCTACAAATAAATTATTTTTTGTTTTGATACTCTTCTTATTATTGTATTTTTGTGCTTATTTTTACTGGGACAAAATTTTAATAGACTTTTTTCTTTTCTTTTTAAAGATTTTACTGGAGAAGGGGGACAGCCAAGTTGTTGTCCTTCAATTTTAGTTGTGGAGGGTGCAGCTAGCTCAGCTCCAAGTCCAGTCACCATCCAGCTGCCGGTCAGCAGCTCCCAGCCACTCAACTCAAAGTGCTGTGTTCAGTCTTACTTGCGGGTGGGAGTAGACCAACATCTCATGCGGAGTCGAACCGGAAACCTTGTTGTTAGGAGCTCGTGCTCTCACCAGCTGAGCCATCCTGCCACCTGTTGGCAGCTCAGCAGCAGCTCAGCTCTGGCACAGCTCGCTGGCCCATGTTGAAATGGAACCGATAACCTTGTTGCTCAGAGCTTGTGCTCTAACCAACTGAGCCACTCGGCCAGCCCTTTAACAGACTTTTTTCAAAGGCATTTAAACAACTATGTGACTTTCTATTTTTTTCAACAGCAATGGCTTCAAGGAAAAGAATGGAACTTGGAACGCTCCAGAGATAATATTGAATAGCAGGTACTACTGAGAAAAATCATCAGAACTTTGTTCTGCAGGACATGTTAGAGTCCCTGATAAAAGAATTTTCTATGTAGACTAAACATTTTTGTCTATTTTGAGGGAAAATAAGATGCTGGAAAACTTATCCTCACACAGACACTGTAAAAACACATTACAGTAGGTTATGGTTTTTTTTCTTTGCAAGGCTGTTTTACAAGCAACCTTGTTAAAACCATCTCAAAACAGACATATGGTAATAATCATTAAACCAGCTGGCTCCATCTGATTTCTTCAGGAGCAAGCAGGCACCTATTAAGGCCCAAGGTTTTAGAGCCGATGGAAGGATTCAAGGAACCAAGAATCCAAAGGATCAAAGGAACCAAGAGCCTATAATATAACCTAATCAAATGTATTGTACTACCTCTGATCCCTCGGCTACATTGCCAAATCTTAAATGTTAAAAACTTAACCCTCTTCTCACCGCCAATCCATTCATTTTTCTTCTTTATATTACTCTTAAGATAATAGCTGAGTCAACTTACCTTCCTTCACTGTCTTTACAGTAGGGGCAGGTGCATGCTTCCCGCCGGGTCCTCCGACCAGCTTGGGGTTGGGGATCTGGGCTGTTTTCTCCTTCCTCTCCGCCTGCAGTGTCATCATGTATTCCATCACCACCAGCCCCATGGAGGCCAAGCTGAGCTCCGTGATCAGCTGAAATTAAGATTAAAGGGTCAAGTTGGGAAGTAGGGGAGGCCATCATAGCTGCAGGCATCTCAGTGACACTCCACTTATCGCATCTTTCTTCAAAGCTTTGAAGTCACATTCACTGATACTACCCATACTTGAAATTTCAAGAATCGTCATCGAAAATACAAAGAGCTGGTAAGTATATGAAAATATGGTCAATCTCACTCAACTTTTAAAGTACAACTCTATTTATAATGGACTTTTGTAATTTTTCACCTATCAGATTACAAAAAGTTAAAACTCTCATAATGCACAGCATCAGCAAGGGTATGGGGAAAACAGGNCAATGATCTATTAAAGTGTGACTACAAAATGAGGGGAAAGGGTGTTGATAAAAGAAAGAAAGAAAAAGCTTCTGATTAACTTTAAAAACAAAAAGAAAGAGCCCATAGATCATTTTGCTGTCTGGAAATGAAATTTAGTTCACTGGGTGGTCCCCTCCTCACTACCACCCACCAGAGGCAGAGCCATGAAAAACAGGAATACAGAGGTGGTTGGTTGATTTTGTTTCTACATTTATGCTTTTGCCTGTGCATTCAGCAAACAGAAGTAAACAAGAGTAAAAGTCAACAGGAGAGCTAAGAAGATTTTTAAAGATGATTTTTTTAAATTATAATAAACAGACTAAGTGAACACCATGGAAGCTGCAGTCTTTCACAACCATTTTTCACTTTGTAGAGTGCTACCTACCTATATCTTACAAAATGATTTCACATCCAGTGCTCTTTCTACTACATCATACTGCCAAGAGGTTGAGTTTTTCCAGTAAAATAACTAAATACCAGAAAAAAGGGTAAAATGAGATACTTGCAGCAGCCAGGCAATCGCTGAACAACACTAAGCTTCAGGAAATAATTTTATTATCTTTCATTAAGGATGAAGTCAGATCAACTGAAGGGAAAGAAATGTTGCACAAAGTATGACTAACCAGAAAGGAGGAAACTACCTTCAGAAACCATAATTAATGAAGCAAACAATCTCAACTCTCACAAAATGGCCTTTCAGTGCCTCATTCTCTCATTAGTGAATGTCAAGCTGCTGCTACCTTACAGAAAAGCATGCATTTTCTTGAGCTCAGAGACCATCAATAACAGCTAGGTAGCCCTATCCTATGACATATTAAATGGCAGACTTCCCCAGAGCATGATTTAGCAATGAGTGTGCCTCATAACTGTTCTCTAGAGTTTAAGTTATAAACCTTTTAGAAATTGCAAGGATCCAAATTATTAATGCGAACAATCCCACAGCTTTGCTTTCCTTTAAAGAGCAAAACTGTTGGATACAACCTCAGAGCAAAGAGAAAACAAATATGCTAATGTAGATTACCCAGAAAGTGTCTAATTTTCCAGGCTAAGTTCAGTTTTTACTAAATTTTTCCCACTTCTACTCCCATAATTTTTAGCCTATTAAACATTTGCCAGCTCTAAAGGTATTACATTTTAAAGAAGCAAAGAACGTATTTTTAACAATCTAAAGGATGTCTCACGTCCAGAGTTAAAACTACAAGTAATGAAATGCCCTAGACTAGGAGAACTAACCACAAGCCTTAAGTCCTTTTCAGTATCGCAATGCCCTCATCTAGAAAATAAAGCAGTTGTATTAGATGATTTCTTAGGTCCCTTCTAGCTCTAACTTTGTATTCCAAGATCTCCAGTTCACTAAGAAAATTACTGCCTTGTTAAAGCTCAAAATGTAGTCATTTTAAACATACCGCAAGAATGTAAGAAAGTTAGGGAACTTGAGCAGACTTTCCCACACTGATTTTCCAAAACTGCAGAAGGCAGGAATATGCCTATTTGTTATCCTCACTTACATAAAAACCAGTCTAAATGGAATGAAACTCTATTACAGCAGTTCTCAACCTGTGGGTTGCGACCCCTTTGGGGGTCGAATGACCCTTTCACAGGGGTCGCCTAAGACCATCGGAAAACAAAAAGATATTTACATTACGATTCATAACAGTAG